GCCTTTAGGAAAAATCTCTCTTTCCAAAGCGGCAACTTTCTTGGCCCATTGGTAGTGCCTTTTTGATTGTCTGTCTTGGCAGAGCCTGTGCTGTTCTCTGATGAGAGAGACAAAAGCTGGAAGAAGAAGAACCAAGGAGTCCTTCTCTTATCTCCAGTTATTATTCAGGGACGCTTTCATGTGCCCTTGATAGGATGAGGCTGCGTTCCGATGTTGGAAGCAGATTGCTCTAAGGATTTATAGATAGGTCAAAGGGTAGAAGGTGAGCTGATGTTGCCCAGGGAACAAACTTTCAAAAGAAAGATTTCCTCAGTATTTTTCTCCTTGTAGCCTTCATTTTAATGATGAGAGAACTAGCAAGGAAAGCTGAGTGTTTTTCTCCAACAGGGCGTGGCTGGTGGTTACAGGGTGGGAGTATTGTAGTGATGCTATGAACCTTTATCTTCAGTCTTGTCTCCTATTTCCTTTTCCCCTCCCACTTATCTGTTCTCCAGTTTGCAAACTGAAGAGCAAACAATCCAAAAGTGCAGAGTAATGTGAGAGGCACGATCCCTCATGTGACACATAAATAACTGATCAGAAATGGCATTTCAAGAGCACACAATCCATTGTAAAGCAGGTTTCAAAGGTCAGAGCTAAAAGCACATTGTACACTGGCCACGTCACATTGGGCCTTAGTATCTTATTGAACTCAGTTCACATGCAATGTTCTCCAAATATTCAATGGCTGGAATACCTGATTTTATCAAACTCAGAAACACAGTGTGGGACTTATAAGGTTCCCGCACCAGAGAGGGCACATCTGGTGTCCTGACATGACCACTGGCAAGCTGTTTCATCTGGGACCTGTTAACTTCCTTGACTCCCTGTACAATGAATGGAATACTCAGAGCTGCTTACAGAGTAGACCCTGTTGATAAGATAGTGTGGGCAAACACTTAGTTCCATACCTAGCACACAATCGGTGCTGATTTATGTCCAGCAAGTCAGTAGAGAATGCCTACTGTATACAACTCTTGGATGTCAGGCACAACCCTGACCTTTATGGGGTTTCCAAGTCTATCTTGAGGAAAAAAAGAAAAATCGGACAAGAATCTTTTAATATTGATAACAAATTCAAGCCAAATTTATGAACCAAGAAGAGTTTTATGTGAGCAGAACATCTGTGAAAGTCTTGGATTCATTGAATATATATTCCTTGGATACCCTTCCAAATGACTAATTTTGGTGTCACAATTACTGTTTATTTCTGCTGACATGAAGCTCCACACATGACTCCTGTCCCAAGGTACATCTGTCCCCCTCTTCTTTGTGCCTGTCTGTTCTCAGTGATGCTTGCATGAAGAGGATCCTTTTTGCAAAATTGGACTTGTAATAGATAATGGAGTGAGAAATGGAGCACAAAACAAAATGAGACTCATTTTGGGGTGCATTCAAGTGCTAGCGGCTGCCCCAAATGGCAAATTACCAAAAATGACAGGGTACCCTGAAGAGTTGATGGATCTTCTTACTCAAATTGCTCGAAAGTTGCCTGAGCGACAGAGATTTTCCTAGTGTTAAAACTGTTCCCTGGGGGTAATTCTAGATACCTTGGGAAGCTGCATTAAGTACTTTTGGCCACTAAACAACCAATGCTAAGTAGGCACTAAATGTTCACATGACCATAAAGTGGTGCATTGGTGAGAATAATCAGCAGAGATCTTTGTGGTTGATGAAGGCCTAGAAACTTTTGCTGGAAGGAATGTTCTGACTATATAATTCTCTTGAAAATTAACCTTTCCCCAAAGAGAAAGCTCATAGGTAAGGAATGGCTTAGAGATGCTGCTACTGATCTTTAGTATCCCCTGCTAGGAAATCAGGTTTTATGGCTTTCAAAGATGACTTGTGAGTGTCAGCCCAGAGGTGGTTCCCAACAACACTGTCAAACTGGCCTTGGGGAGTTCAGTCCGTTTCCTTACAAGCCGAAGGCAGCAAGGCTCCCCGGGGCATGTGGTGAGAAAGGAGAAAATCTGAGCACTGCTTGGGCTTGGCTACTTCCTACTCACGTGGCCTTGAAGCAGTTTACTTTTCCTCTTTGGGCCTCCGTTTTGTAAAGACTGGGATTGAATTAGGTCAGCGATGGCCCGTTCTTGGCAGGTAAGCTAAGCCACCTCCATCTCAACCTGCATCCTCAATGGGCATCTTGCTAATAGGTCAGATGTTTTCACACTGAGCATCAGAAGCCCCAGCTCAGGTTCACTTCTGCCCTCAGGTCAACTGCAACTTGGCACGCGTATGAGACGTGGTTTGGGCATATGCAATAGGGCCAAGCAAGATTCTGTGACCTGCAGTAGTGGGGGGGAGGATGGAGCCCATGTTCAAATCTCAGCTTTATGTCTTACTAGTTGACTCAGTTAACTTCTCTGTGCTTCTGTTTCTGGATCACAGGATGGTTGTGAGGAAAACACTTAAGACAGTGACTGAGGTACTTCGGTGCTTAGTAAATGCTAGTTATTAATATCCAGTCCTTGTTTTCTGATGGGACAATTAAGAATTAATGGAGAAAACATTAGCTCAGATCATTGCAATTCCTTCCCAAAAGCTCCAGTACTGCTGATTATCTTTTATCCCAGAAGCCCCATTCTAAAAGTAGCTCTCACAGCATTTGAGCTTTCTTTAGTGGCTATTCATTAGCAGGATCCTAGGAAATGCTTTTGTTTTACTTCCAGAAAGCAAACTTTTGTGGAGCCAGTGTTAATTTGTATAATTCCTTCTGTTAAGCCTTGCATGATATTTATATTCAAAGGTAGCATCTGTACATTTTTGTCTCACCCTGGAAGACAAAAGAGTTATTAAAATTTAACACAGAGGGAGGAGTGACTTGCATTCTGAGTGGCCTTCTGCCTGCATGAGCCTCCATTGTTCCAGGGTAGTTCTGGTTTTTCTCTCAGATTGAGATGGGGACCAGGATATCAAAAAAGAAAAAGTAGGACCCCTTCCTTCTTCGAGTTCTAAAGATTCTTGCCCTACTTTCTTGCCTATTAAAAAGAGTCTATATTTATATACCTGGTCAAATTATGGATCAAATAAAGCTATATATGTCCTGTCGCTTGACCCCATTCAGGGGACATCCCACTTCACCACGGAAAGACAAAGAACCAACCACTTAACTGGAGACAAAGACAAAGCAAAAAGACAAAGACAAAGCCACTTGACTGGAGACCTGGACCTCCCTGCTGCCCACAACTAGCTAGATCCCAGGGGTCCTGGACATTCCCCAGGCTCTGCACCAGCAGGTGAGACCTACCTTAGAAATGAGAGATACTGCTTGTCACGGAGGGCTCTTCTAAGACAAGGGGTGTGGGCCATTGATAGTGAGGAAGTGCAGGCCAAAGGGGAAGGCTGGGCTGCTGGGCCCTGGTGCCTGGTGGGGAAGATTTTTCTATAGAGAAGCTTTGGCACTTTGACTCGGCTTCAATGGGAAGCTCAGGGGACCTCCCAGTTCCGACAAGTTATCCATCCGTTCAACTTTGTTGGCCACACTCCTGACCAAACCTCTACCCCTGGGATTCTAGTGTCCCTTTTAACATCACTAAGCTGATTGAGATGAAAACACCCTATGGAGAGGCAGTGTCAGCGGCCACAGTACTGCAGGGATTTGGGTTTGGGGCTTTATATGTTTTCAAGCAAGTGCCACAGGGTGCTCACTGAAGGGTGGAGTAGTTCCATAGAGACCTGCTTGCCTGCAGTTCATGTAATGAGAAGTGATATTCCTGATATCATTACCCTAGAATTTGTGTTTATTTTTCTTCATGGACCATGTGGCTTCTTTTTTTTATAAACCTAAGTGGATTTATTTCACCTTGAATATAGTTCCTCCGTTCTCGACATCTCCCATGGCATTGGCTTGATTTAGGGGATCTTTATTTTTTGGTTCAGGTATATACACTGAGATTTCTACCTTTATCTTCTCCCATCTCTCCTTCTACCAATCCAAATGACCTGTTATGACCCTGAACTTACCAAATAACTATTTAGTGAACACATATTTATTAACCGTTTTGTACAAGGCGCTGCTTAAGTACTGAGGATGCAGGAGAAAATAAAACAGAAAAAAAAAGGCAAAAGCACTTTCTTTGTGGCATTTGTAGGTGAAGGGTGGACTCCCAGTGAAAGGTTGGCTCCATGTTGAGACTGATAGCATGGGACACACGGTAAGCAGATAACTCATAGGATTACCACTCACCTACAGAGACTTTCTGGGAATAGCAGGGAAGCTCCAAGATGATCCCAAATTACTTGAGAGAATGGAGGAAGGACTGTCTTGCATTTTTTTTCTAGTGGTTAGTGGCTGGAGCTGCAGAGGATTGTCCCAGGCCTGGGCAGGGGCTACATGACTTGAATCAGCATCAAGGTAGGATGTCTCCAGGTCTTTTCCTCAGTTGACCCAGGTGGAGCAGAAGTGAAAGAGAGAGGCAAGAGGCTTAAAAGCGGTCAACAGTAAAACATCAAAACATGGAGCAGACTCTGGATTACATTCTTTTAATTTAATGTAGAAAAATGCATGCACAGTAAGTACAGAAACCCCAAGCATACAGCATGTGAGTTTTAAAATATGTATAGACCCATGTACATATAATCTCGAAGAGACATAGTGTTAGAGTCTGTAAACAAGTCAGGATGGCGCCTGGCATTTTGCCAGGGGAATGTTAGAGTCCGTAAACAAGTCTGGATGATGCCTGGCAAAATGCCAGAGGGAGTGGTTTGTGAAGTAACGCCAGTGAGCCATTAAATGTGGAGATTCCTTATTGGTTGACTGCTGTATCTAGTTTATGTTAATTAGATAAGCTGTGTGGAATGTATAAATATCCCTCCAGTCCTACAATAAACGGCTCCCACTCCTGCTGTATCAACGTACACAAGTTTTTCGTCACCCCCGGTTGATTTGCTGCAGCCTGACGGCGGCAACATAGAATGTTTCCATCATGCACATGGTTCCCTTGTGCCCCAAGAAGTAATCATTACTCTAATTTCTATCAATATCAAAGATTATTTTTTCCTGTTCTTGTGATTTTTATAAATGGAATCATACTGGACATAGAGACATTGATACCTTTGTCTTAAGTCACAGGATTACCAGATAACTCATAGGATTACTACTCACCTACAGAAAGTATGACCATATGTATGTATGTGACTCTGAGTCTGGACTTTTGGTTCTGTCTTTGCACCAGTATGACTCTGTTTTTAATGAAGATATTTGTTAGTGGAAGTACTCCACTTTGTTCTTCTTTAAGATTATTTTTCTACACCCTTCACCTTTCAACATCAATATTTTAGAATCAGATCCTTAATACACACACACACACACACACACAAAAAAAAACACACACACACTCTGGTGAACTTTTGATTGGGACTGAATCCATATGGGGAGAAGTGACATTTTCTAATCCATACAGAAAGTTTAAATCCATTAATATAAAATAATTTCAGAATATTTAGGTCCTTTTAAATTTTTCTCAGTACTATTTGTTAGTTTTCATTATAGAGCCAGGTATAGTGGTGCATGCTTATAATCCCGGTAGCTCAGGATGCCGAGGCAGGAGGATTGAGAGTTTAAAGCCAGCCTCAGCAAAAGCAAGGCTCTGAGAAACTCAGTGAGATCCTCAGTGAAATACAAAAAAAAAAAAAGTGGGGGTGCTGGGGATGTGGCTCACTGGTCAAGTGCCCTTGAGTTCAATCCCTGTTACCACCCCCCACCAAAAATATAGTTTTCACTCTCCAGAAAACTTTTACCCTATAATTATATTTATTCCTATATATTTGATATTTTTAATACTATTATAAATGGTGCTTTAAATTTTAATTTTCCAATGGTTTTAAACTTGTATATAGACACAGCTGATATTTGTTATTAACCTTGTATCAGTAGCCCTGATAAATCCAATTTACAATAATAAGTTGCATTAGTTTTGAATTAAAAAAAAACTTTTTTAGTTATAGATGGACACAATACCTTTAATTATTTATTTTTATGTGGAGCTGAGGATCAAACCCAGTGCCTCACACGTGGTGGGTGATATATCCACCAATGAGCTACAACCCCAACCCCAGGTATGAATTTTTTAATTTTTAATTAATTAATTGATTTTAATTAGGTATATATGACAGCAGAATGCATTCTGATTCAATATACACAATTGCAGCACAACTTTACATTTCCATGGTTGTACACGATGTAGTGTCACACTATTTGTGTAGTTCTACATGTACCTAGGGTAATAATGTCCATCTCATTCCACCATCATTCCTGCCCTCATGTACCTTCCTTCCCTTCCCTCTCCTTGGGTATGAATTTTTGATGTGTACAATCACATATAAATAATCTTCTAATAACATTCTAATCTTTGTACCTTTCTTTTGTTTCTCTTGCTTTATAGCATTGCCAGGAACCTACAACACAGCATTAAACATGTGGTCATGGTGTACACATGGAACACACCTTTCTCTTCCCGCCAACCTCAGCAAGAGATTCTTTCATATTTTGTGGCTATAGATGTTTTTGTAAATATTCTTTTATAGAACTTCTTCCTATTCCTATTTATATAAATCTTTTTTCCTTCATTGTGCATAGGTGTTGGATGTTAGCAAGGGTCTTTTCTGCCTCTGTTGAGAAGATTGTATGGGTTTTCTCCTTTATTTTGCTAATGCGGTGACTTCCGTTGATACATTTCAAAATTCTAAAATAATCTCCCATCTCTGTATTGAATCTATGGAATTGTGATTCAATTTTAATCTAATCAGAATCATTAGAGAGGAAATAATTTGTGAAATATTTTAATCACAAAATGGAGTTGAACAAAGGCATTAGGTGGAATGAAATATAAACTTGTATTAAAAGATGTCTAAATGCTGTGAAAGTGGGATGAAATATTTTGATGATATCAGAATGATAAAAGGAAAGAAGGGTGTGTTTAGGATGGAAACTTAGAAAAACAAACAGAATAAGGGTTAGATTGCAGCTTGTATGGGTCCTGGGGTGTCAGTATACCTAGTGGCTTTGGTCCTGGGCTCCATGTTGTGCTGCATGCAGGAAAGAGCTTCCAAATTCTTGGAGAAGATGGACACAGCAGAGGGGCAGCCTGGGGACACCTCAGTGGCTCACCATCTTTCTATCTTGGACATGTGTCTTGGAGTAAGAAGCAGATGAAGCTCCTTGCTCCTGTGATATCATCGCAGCCTTGTGTTGGAGAGTTTTAAAGCAGATGCAACTCTAACCATCTAAACACCTTTCTAAAACCAGGCCTTACTTTGAACATGGTGTGATCACATTATTATAAATCATCATTTATTCATTAAATTATATGCACATGAACACTTGTGGAATGGGGCAAGCATGGGTCTGAGCAATGTCCAACATATAACTTAATTTGAGCCCATAGTCTGTCAGAGGGATCTACTACTGCCCAATTTCACATGTGTGAAGATGACTCACAAGGAGGTTGAAGCAGGGATTGTAGTTCCCACAGCCTGGCTTCCTGAGTCTTCAGTGTTAACAATAAACTTTCAACACACAATTTTTATTATTATTTTTAGAGCTTAATTGTCATTTCTATGACCAAGGGCTTGATATGCACGCAGCATTTTCAACTGAAATTGCACATGGCCCATAATAGGGCTACCTTCTCACCAACCTTCTCAGCAAAAATTGATCAATGGTGCCATGTTATTACAAGACTAAAGTTTTAAAACTATACAACTTGGAGTTATATTAAATACGTTCATTCCAAATTATTATCAAAATGCTACAAAAACTAAAATTCTCACAGCTAAATTTTACACATTTAGAGAAATTTTCTGGATGAATTTAACTGGAGAAAATCTATGCTATGTGAACATGATAATACTTATTCTTTTATCTCCTGACACTTACAAATAATACATACGGATAAAACAGCATGATAAAATATTTTTACTTTATAACTTTTTTTCTTGTCTCAAGGTGAAAAATGGCAAACTATTAAAATGACACATGGTAGTTTTTTTTTTTTTTAAAGGAATATGACCACTAAATGGAAGGTCAGGAAGAAGTGGCCAGAGTCTCAGAGATGCAGAGATTGGAAGGTTCACGAACCCTCCTCTTCTATCCTGAGCATTTCTTACTTTTTGTGTGCATTTCACCCCAAAAATTCAGTGTCAATGGAACCCAAAGATAAGAACAAATCCATATGGGTGCAGTAGGCTTTTATGTAAGTAGCATCCCTGAGATTTCACATCTCTGTTCCCCAAATTCCATGTATTCACCTGCATGAACTTCAGCTGGGACCAGGAGGAGCTGCTGGGTGGGGAGGCTGCATGGCATGTGGGGAGGCACCCAGCCAGGGCTGCAGGGAGGCCTACCTCTGCCACTGGCCCAGCTCTCGCTTCTCTGTATGTGGGATTATAGAGATGAGGCCACAGAACACTCTGGAATCTGATGTCTTGCCAGAGGTGTCTTCTCCAACAGCTTCAACCCACCATCCCTACATACTTCAGTGAGGGGCCTGAAAGTAAGAAATGGATTTCTCCTGGCCAAAGTGACCTGCTCAAAGTGAATCAAATGTTCCCTTGCTCAAGGGTAGCATCTCCATCTATACTACACCAAGGGGAGCAAGTCCCATCTACATTGGCTTAAAGCAAGTGAGTCCCCATCTGCACTGACTCAAGGTGAGTGAATATATACAGAGAGCTGTGGAGGGAGGCACCATGGTCCAGGCTCTGCCCTTGCACTGAGGCATCTTCTTTATCCAAAAAAAAAAAAAAAAGCCAAAAATCAAAAAACAAAAACACCAAAACCTGCCTTTTTACTTTTTACTTTTAATCTTTGAAAATTCAATTTTATTATATAATTCGTAAAAAAAAAAAAGAAATTCAGAATAAATTTCTACCACAACGTGGGAGAAAGGACAAAGACCAGGACAGGGGGAAGTGTCCCAGGGAGAAGACTCTATGATGTGTCTTTGCAGGTGGGGGCAGAGGAGACTCCTGGTGGATGCAGATGCGCTCCTGCCTGGATCTGGGTGGAGAGGCCAGAGCCCCTCAGCACAGCTCCCACCCACACTGCGATGTCAGCATCCCCAGGGCTCAGGGTCTCCTGGCTGGCTGTCAGTTCTGTCTGTCTAGCTGGGCATTTCCACTGGAGCCACTCTGTTTCTGGACAGTGGCCCACGGAAGCAGGGTATGCAGCATAGCTGCCGGATGCATTTGGCGATCCTCCTCCTCACCCTCTTCCAACCCCGGCTGCTGTCTGGGGGTTTCCCTGTGGAGGTCCCTTGGGGGATGAGTGGCTGGGCACAGGGTGAGGCTGGGAGGCTAGACTTTGGGAGGGGGGGTGGCGGGCACGTTGGCACTTCCTGCAGGCTGCTGCTGCTCATGGGGCAGGGGAAGGGCAGGCTAACTAGAGGACTTCCTGGGGCAGGACCTGGGAGGATCTGCAGGGCCCAGGCCATGCTTGGGCTTCACCTGGAGTGCACAGGCCTCCCACTGGGTTCTCTGGTGCTTGAGTATTTGGTGTGTCGCCATCACTTCATCAAACTTGTGATCACCAAGGATACCCAGTTATGATAGGGTCTTAAGCCATGGCTATCAGAATGTTCATAATGGCTAGATCTGGGAGTTTGGGGAGTGCCTCAGGAGGAGGACTGGGTGAAGCTTGCTCACCCTGGTTCAGCCATGGGTGCCCCATTACCTGGTCTATGGTGGGCCTCTGCGTAGGGTCCTCCATGAGTATCTCACGATGAGGCTCTGGGCTCCCTCGGAGACAGGGGAATGTCGAATGTTCCCTGCTTCATCAGCTTCTTCAGCTGCCTATTGCTGCTTGCTGCAAATGGCCATCTCCCTGTGAGCATAGCATAGAGGACCACACCCAGGCTCCAGATGTCTGCAGGGGGCCTTGTATTCCTATCCGAGGACGATTTCAGGGGCAACATAGAGGAGAGTGCCAGAGAACCTCCTCAGCTTCTTCCCAGCTGTGAATCTGGTGCTCAGGCCAAAGTCGATGAGCTTCACATTGCCGCTGGCGTCCACCACCACGTTCTCAGAGGCTTCAGGTCCAGGTGCAAGATGCCTTCTGGAACCATCTGCCTGAACAGTCTGCGGGCCTCCTCCTCCTGCATGCCGTCAGTTTCTGGGCCGAGGTCTCATAGTTGTTCCCCTCCTGTATGCTCCATGATACGGTAGATCTACTCATTGGTCTCAATGATGGGAAAGAGCTGGATCACATTTGGATGGTCCAAGTCTGCCATCATTTCCCGTTCAGAGAGGAACAGGGAGCTCGAGGCTAATTTCACCAAGACCCTCACCACAACCTCTGTCCTGGTGAGCAGATGGCAGGAGAGTTTCACCTGGGTGAAGCTCCCTTCCCCAATATCCTGCAGGACCATATAATGGTCCATGAAGGCAGGCTAACAGCAAGAGCTCTGCCTTTGCAGCGCTACTCTGCTCTCAGTAACTCTCATAGCTCATCCTGAACAGGAACAAGGAGCTTAGCTTAAAAAATAATAATAAACCAAAACAAACAAAACAAAACAAAAACTCAGAAAAGAAAAGCAGAAAACCAAAAGGGGGAAAAAAAAACACCCAAATCAAAAAACCCAGTATCCAAAGACCACAGTCACCAGTTACCAGCCACCAACCACCACAAAACATGCTAACTATCTGGAAGTCCGACAGGTCACCACCAAGAGCTTCCTGTATTGTGGACAAAAAGCCAAGCTGCAGCCACTCTCGTATAACCTTCTAGTTTGAATTTTCCTCTCAATGGCTCTTTGTGAGGTCAGAGCACCTGGGCATAACCTCCAGGACCTTTCCCCCTTTCACAATAGGAATAAGAAAGGACTCTGGGAGGTTTTTGTTGCTGTGGGTCATGGGAGCCCATGTTTACTTGTTTAGAAGTTAAAGTTTGTAGGATACTCAGTGGTCTTCATTTTGAGTCTGAAAATCTGTAATATCTTTGTAGCTTTGAAAGACCTCATCCTGTCTGCACTGAGGGTTTCTGCTTTGCTGCTGCCCTAAAAGGAGCAGCTTTCCTCCATGAGGCCCTTTCCCCAGCATGGACTACCTGCCCTTGAGCAGAGGCAGGGAGTCAGCCATCTAGGAACTGAGTCTTCTGCAACTGTTAGCCCCAGAGAAGCTTCTTTTCCTTTAAGTCATTCTTGTTGGGTGTTTTGGTCACAGAGACAAAAACCTAATTAAAAAAAAAAAAAGCTGATTAAAACACAGCCATATGTCATAGTGCCCACCTTGACAAATGTAAGTGTGTGTGTGTGTGTGTGAGTGAGTGAAGCGCTGGGAACTGAACCAGGTCGTTGCATGTGCTGGAGAAGCTCTCTTAAGTTGCACATCCCGTCCCTGGGGCTGGGGTTTCCTGGACTAAGCAGCCCTCAATACTGTTACATTGAGGCTGAACTGTCAACAGGAATTTTGGAGTGAAGCACACCTTCAAACCACAGCACGCAATAAACAAGAGCCCAAGGAGATTGTCCCCACTAGATGTGCCCTGTGTGAGGGGAGTCCCTCAGGTTACACTGAAGGATATTAGGTAGGTACTCAGATCGTGATGAAGACAGTTCTCTGGTAAAGCAAATTCATGACACGTAGAAAAGCTAGGGCTACTTTTGTTTTCAACAATATGTAAGAGAATAATGTATCAAACCATCCCGATTTTCCCCCTATGGTATTGACTAAATACCATATATAACACTGTAACATCAGTAACTCCAGGAGAGTATGGAGAGGTACAGCAACCCCATCTACACAGTAGTGAAGACATGTTGCTGTAGATTCACACCAGAGTGACATCTCTTTCTCATGTGAAGTGGAACCTCTATGGGAACCACAAAGAATTGCTTGAAACGATGCTCAGAGCTGGGAGGAGCAAGAAGCCTCCATCTTAACCTGAGCATTCCTTACTTTTTGTGTGCACTTCACTTTGTAAAATTTAGCGTCAAGGGAACCCAAAGAGCAATTCCTCATGGGGTGCACTAGGCTTTTATGTAAGTGACATCCCTGAGTTTTCACATCTCTGTTCCCCAAATCCCATGTGTTCACTCCCAATGAACTTCAGCTGGGACCAGGAGGAGCTGCTGGATGGGGAGGCTGCATGGTATGGGGTGAAGCCCAGGCCACCCTCCGTCCCCGCTCCCTCACCCTCTCTCCTCTTTCTTGTGCTTCATCTTCCTTTCTCCACTGTAACACACCTGATGAAAATGTGTATTTACTGACATTTTTAAAACAAACCTACAGAACCCAGGACAATGCATTGTCTATATTCTTTGCTCATAAAATCTCTATTGACAATTGAATTGAGCTCAGAATCACAGACAATTATAAAACATCAATTTCCATTTTCTTAGATTTGATAAAGTCTGATGAAGGGTAGATGATTCCAAGATGGTCAGCAGACAGAATCCTAATAACCTTTTATAAGTAAGAAGTCATGAATTGAGGCCCAGTAAGGGTCTTCTCCCTTGGTGCTCCTCCTAGAAGTTGCTGCTCATCAGTGGTTCACTCTGCGCTCTCTCTTCTCAGCCTCCTGAGCCAACTGGCTTGATCTCTGCACCTACCAGTGGTCTCAGGCTGTGGGCTTGTGTAGTTGAATGTGTCTCTGTGCCTGAATTCCAAACCTGTGAGATTTGGAGCCATTTATAAATCCACATTTCAGGACAATGTCACCATGATGAGTCCTAAAGAACAATCTCAAAGCCAATACATTAGGAGAGAGTTAGGGGGATGTGGATAGAACTATCATTTTAAGGAGTAAGCCAATAATAAAATTTCCTGTGTTAAAAAAGGAGATTGTTCATGTATTTTTAAAATAGATGATGATGGCACCTAGATCAAGGAATCTGATAGTTTTATGATAAAATGTCAATATCTGCAACTTATTGGAAAACTTATTTATTTTACTATTTAAGCCTACTAAGACAGATTTTAGAAATCAAATCAAATTTGTTGATTGCTTGCAGATGCTCCAACAGAATTTTGAAAGAGTTTTGAACATTAGCCAGGACAAAATTGGGCTCCCTAAGGAAAGTACCCATGAGGGAGTGTTGCTGGGGATGCCCCTGGGTGCCCACTGCATGGCTCCTGAAGGTGCGTGAGACCCTACAGGGACAATCTCATGCCAATGATGCCTAGAGGAGCTTCTGGATCTGTGTCTGGATCAGTGTATCGACCTAACTTAGAAGGCAGCGTATGTTCCAAAAATGACCTTTAAGTGAAAATCTCCTGATTCAAGTTACTTAAGGAGAGAAGGACTTGTTCTAAAATCCCAAGATAGGACATGGCTGTTGGTTTTAAATAGGAGAAGAAAGAAAAAAATGATGTTCATATATTTGAGGTTGTGGGTGTGTATGTATAAAAATATCTCAGGAAATACTGTGTCAGCTCTAGTTTTCTCTAACTGGTTTTAATTTCTTTTAGTTATATTAACAAACTATAAGATTAAATTAATTTTGGTATAATTTACAAAGGTTAACACATGCATGGACCCCTGTGACCTCCACACTTAAGATCTAGACGGGTCCCCTCCCGACCCCTGCTGTGCAGTCATAGACAGGCCCATTTCCCAGCTCTCACTTCTGGTGACATCCTCTTCTCTGGCTGCACTTCTACCTTCTCCAAAACATCAGAGGAGTGTTCTAAATTAGGCTACCTTTGGAGACCGGCTTCTGTCACTCAGCAAAGTGCCCTGACTCTCCACAGTGCCGTGTTTCTGCTGTTTCTCTCACTGCTGAGCAGCCTTCATCTTTATCAATATACCTTGGAATAAATCTTTTCACCCAGGGAAGGATGTTTGGGTTGTTCCCCGGTCTTGGCAATGGTGAGTACTGCTGCTGTGAATCTTCTCACACAGGTTTTGGGGTGAACATGTTTTCCTGGAGGAAATATCCAGGATGAAGGCTCCTAGTTCATATGGTCAGCATGTTTTACATTAGGAAAAGCTGCCAAGTGGCTCTCCAGAGTGGCCGTGCCATTTTTGGTAGAGACATTATTTCTAGCACTTGATATTGTCAGGTTTGGGGTTTTAAATTTTTTTTTTAATTTGAAACCTTCTCAGAACTGATTTAAATGTGGTTTAAATTTATATTTCCTTAGTAGCTAAGGATATTAAACATCTTTGTGTGAGTGTGTGGTTTGTGGTATTGGGAATATAGAATGCAGTGCTGTTCTGCCACTGAGCTACACCCCAAACCCTTTTTATTTTTTTGAGACAGGATGTCACTAAGTTTCCCAGGATGGTCTTGAACTTGCAATCCTTTCACTTGAGCCTTCTGAGTATCTGAGATAAGAGGCATGAACAATTGTGCCTGGCTTTCCATATGTTTATTTCTCATCAACATTTATTCATTATTGCCTATTCAAATTGTTTACCCATTTAAAAAAATTAGGTTGTCTTCTTAATGTTGAATTATATGAAAAAATGTTCAACATCTCTAGCAATTATAGAAATGCAAATTAAAACTACACTGATACTCCATCTCATGCCAGTCAGAATGGCAATTATAAAAAAAATAGAAGTAACAATAAATGTTGGTGAGCTTGGGGAGAAAGGTACTCTCATACATTGCTGGTGAGACTGCAAATTAGTGCAACCACTATGGAAAGCAGTACAGAGATTCCTTAGAAAATCTGGAATGAAACCACACCATTTGATCCAGTTATCTCACTCCTTATTCTATACCCAAAGGAACTAAAATCAGCATACCACAATGATGCAGCCACATCCATGTTTATAGCAGCTCAATTCACAATGGTGAAGCTATGGAACCAACCTAGGTGCACTACAACAGATGAATGGATAAAGAAAATGTGTGCATATACACAATGGAATATTATTCAGTCACAAATAAGAATGAAATTTTGGCATTTACTGGTAAATGAATGGAACTGGATAACAGCATGCTAAGTGAAATAAGCCACTCTGAAAAAAATGTTCTTTCTGATATGTGGTTGTTAATGCACAACAAGGGAGAGTGGGGAGGAGAAGAATATAAGACCATGGGGTTAGACAAAGGGGAATGAAGGGAAGGGAGAGTGAAGGGGAATAGAAGTACAGTAGAATTAATCGGACATAAATTTTCTATCCTTGTATTTGAATACATGATCAGGGTAACTCTGCATCAGGTATAACCATAAGAATAGAATCCTAATTAGAGTCATGCTCCATGTATGTATAATATGCCAAAAGACATTCTACTGTCATGTATATCTAAGAAGAACAAATAAAAGTTTAAAAATTATAAGTTCTTTATATAAATCTTTTGTCTGATTTGTGATTTGAAAATAGTTTCTTCCAGTCTGTACTTTACCTTCATATTTTCTTAACAGTGTCTTTCAAAGAGCAGAAATTTCCAATTTTAATTAAGTCTCATTTATAGATTTTTTCTTTTAAGGATTGTGTTTTTGGTTTCATGTGTAAGAACCACCTAGCCCAAAGTCATGGACATTTCCCTCTAAAAGTTTTGTAATTTTACATAGAGATTGATGATTCAGTTTTTTTTCTTTGATTCATCTTGAAGTTGATTTTTGTAGAAGGTGTAAATTAGCTGAGGTTGTCTTTTTGCTTATAGATATGCATTTGTTCCAATACCCATATGTCAAAACAAAATTTCTTCTCCATTAAATTGTCTTTTTACTTTTGACAAAAAATCAAATTGTTTTGTGGGTTATTTCTGGACTGTCTATTCCACTCAATATGATACATGTTTCTGCCTTTTCATTAAAGACCACCCTGTCTTGATTGCTATAGTTTTAGAGTCAGCCCTTCAGTCAGACAATACTAGTCCTTAAATTTAGTTTCTCTTTATGAAAATTAAGTCTCTTTTAGTTTCTTTTCCTTTATGTATATTTAAAATGTCAACTTATCTATAAATAATTCTGCTGATATTCTAATTAGAATTGCATACATTTACTGACTAATTTAGAAAACATTGACATCTTAATTTTGAGTAGCCTAATCTACAATTTTGATATATATACCTATTTATTTAAATCTACTTTGATTTCTTTTAACAATATTTTATAATTTTTAGAACATAAACTCTGCCTAAAGTTGTTAGGTTTTTACCTAAGACTTTCATGTTTTGGACTCTTATAATTTTGTTGGATTTTGATTATATTTGTTATTAGATTATTTTATTAAAATTTTAAATTTCTGTTTTCACTTGTTCCTTGCTAGAACACGGAAGCATAATGGTTATTGGAAAATTGATCTTTCTTGGGTTCTGTGACCTCCCTAGACTCATTTATTAGTTTCAAAAAATTTTTGAGGCCTAATTGAGATTTTTATACCTGGATAGAAGGCTAATAATTTTCAGATGCAGGAACAAATTTATTTTTCCTTTTTGAATATGTCTTTTCTTCCTCTTGCCTTTTGGAACTTTCAGTGTGCTGTTAAATAGGTCAGGTAAAAATGAACATCCATCCTAGACTTGGGAGAAAAAGCGCTGTCTTTCACTATGTAGAATGTAGTAAACTGCACTTTTGTAGCTAAACTTTATGAGGTTAAGGAAGTTTTATTTTATTCCCAGTTTGCTGTTTTTTTGTTTGTTTGTTTGTTTGTTTGTTTATTGGCTTGTTTCTGGTAATGGGGATTGACCCAGGGGCACTGAGCTACATCCCAGCCCTGCTTAATTTATTTTTTATTTTTTATTTTGAGACAGAGTCTCACTAAGTTATTGAGGCTGGCCTTAAGCAACCTGTGATCCTCCTGCCTAAGCCTCCTGAATCTCTGGGATTGCAGGCATGTCCACCACTCCCTATGCTTGAGACTTCTTTTTAAAATCATGAATTAATGTTGGATTTTTCAATACTTTTCATTGCTTGGTCTCTCAAGAGTGATCTTGTGATTTTGCTCTTTTGTTCTGTTAATATGGTAAATTATATGGTCTGATTTTCTAATTTCTTTTGAAACATGAATTTCTGGAATAAACTCAGTATTCATGGGTGTGATGTATTTTGCTTTTTTATATATTGCTGTTTTCAATTTGCTATTTGCAATTGTGAGTTCTTTCATATATGTTCATGAGTTAAAAATAAAATAGGGTTTTTTTTGTACTATATTCATTTAGTTTCAGTATCAGAGTAATGTGGACTTTCAAAATGAGTTAGGGAGTGCTCTTCTGTTTTCTGTAAGAGCTGTGCAGAACAGATATTAGTGCCATATTCAGTGATATAATTGGCCACTGAGACCATCTGAGACTGGGCTTTGTTTGTAAACATTTTTGAACTATGAATTTCTATGTATTTGATGGCTAGAGACATTTTCAAGTTATATCCCCTACCCCTGGGTGATTTTGATAGTTGGAAGTCTTCAGAAATGGCCCGTTTCATTAAAGATGTCAAACATGTGCGTGTAGACTGGTCGGCAGTGTTCCCATGTCACCTGTACATCTGGGATGTCTGCACTGATACCACACTTTCAGTCCTCATCTTGATAATTGTGTCTTCTCTCTTTATTTTTTTTGTCCATGTGTCTGGACATTTATTAAATTTTATTGATCTTTTTTTCAAAAAAACAGCTTTTTATTCCGCTTTTCTCTTTTCTCGTTTATTGATTTCTGCTCTCTGTCATTTCCCCTGTCTTCTTGCTTCCTTATTTTGTTGTCCTTTCTTTAGGTGGAAGCTTTATTAATAACTTCATCTGTCTTCTTTTTTTTTTTAAAGATGAACATTTCATACCACACATTTTCTCCAGACACTATTTTACTTATACTCCACAAATTTTCCTACACAGTTTTTGCCTTTTTATTTAGTTCAGAATAGTTTTTAATTTTTTCTGAGACTTCCTCCTTTTTCAGCGGGTCAATCAGGGTGGACTTTCCACATGCTCTTAAAAAGAATGTGTGTTCTGTTGTTGGTGGAATCAGTTACATTCAGCTGATCAGTATCGTTCTATATTCTTGCCAATTTTCCCTCTACTTGTTCTGCTCTGCACTAAGACAGGAGTGTTGAGTCTCCACCTTTATTCGTGGATTCATCCATTTCTCCTTTTAGTTTATCAGTTTGGGGCCCACCTATTTTGAAGTTCTGTTTTTAGGCACGTACATATTTTCTAGGTTGACCGTTTTATTTGCTTTTGTCTGCATAGTGCTTGCTTTTCCCATCTTTTTATATTCATCTTGTCCATGTCTTCATATTAAAAGTGGATTTAAGAAGACGGCCTGTAATTGAGTCTGTGGGTATCTTTTTTCTTTTCGTTCCACAATTTATTTTTTAATTTGTGTGTTTAGGCTGTTCTATTTAATGTAATCATCGTTATTTTTACATTAAAGTTTATCATTTTGTATTTGTTTTGTATTTGTCCTTTCTCGTTTTTGTTTGTTTCTCTCTTTTCTGTGTCCTAATTTCTTTTTGGCTTATTAAATATATGTCAGTATTTCATGTTAAGATCCCTATTGAGGTTTAATTATATTGCCTCATATAGTTTTGTGGGTTTTTTTTAAATATATTTTTTTGCTTTTTTGTTGTATCATTTTTCCATCAATGAATATATAGTGCTTGTACAATGAAGAAAGGCAGGGCTGGGGATGTGGCTCAAGTGGTAGCGCGCTTGCCTGGCATGCGTGTGGCCTGGGTTCGATCCTCAGCACCACATACCAACAAAGATGTTGTGTCCGCTGAAAACTGAAAAATAAATATTGAAATTCTCTCTATCTATCTTTAAAAAAAAAAAAGAAAGGCAAACCACAACAGGTTAAAAAGAAAGACCTCAGAGATGAGAAAAATAACTCCTCTCATAGCAGGTAAGCTAGACCTGTGTGTGCATTCATAAATATGTTCACTTAGAGAATCTGAGAGCTCTGAGCATTTCTTGTGAAG